TTATTTTAAATAAACTTTAAATTTTAGCGCATTTCCACTTCATGATAATGTCGCATTTTTATTTTAGTTGCTGTAGCGATTGCTGATTGTTTGCACTAATTATTCGAACAAAAAGATATTAATCACTTAAAAAAGAAATTCCTTGAGATATGTCGAAGAAGATTTAATTTAATTTAATTTCATTTCATTTCTTTGCAAAAATAAACCTTAGTGATATCGGCAAGATATTGTTTTATTTGATCCTGATAATCAGCTAATTTCGTTTCCATGTCAATATGATTTGAAACTTTCCGTTGACACTGTTCAAGTTGATCCTCCAATATCGAGCACGATTCTTGCATTATCTCATTCTCTTCTTTTAATTGCTACAAAAAAATTTTTTTTCGGTTACGATGCAAATAAAACTGAATGGAGAAATTAAGTAATAAAAATTGTAAAAAGTAACGAATGCGTTAATGTTTCATAAAAAACTGAGTAATTCAAATTAAAAATTCCTTTTAAATTTTAGAGTCTAAGAAAGAGAAAAAATTGGGTTAATTCAAATATTTTTTAAATTGAGCCAACTTAATTTTTCATATCCTATTGCATTGGTTGGAATACTTTTGAGGGTAAATTAACTTAATCTCTAATATTCTATGCAGAAAATCAGAAATGAAATTGGTTTGCTGTAAGGAGGGAAAAACAAACAAGCAAATAAATGAATAAATTTTAAAATTGGAATATTATACGTGGAAGAAAAATTTTTTTAATTCAATAAACACTTCATTCCAATGCGGTAAAAACAATGTACCGTCACTCGAGATTTGAAAAAATCCAAATCTGATAGTTTCTCCTTCAATTTACCATTGTCAGCTTGTAGCTTATCATAATTTTCCAACTGCAAATGATAAAACTGAAATATTGTTGAAATTTCATCATTTAATGTATTGGAATACAAAATTTATTCGAAGTGGACAAATGCTTAAATGATTCAAACAATTTCATGTATATAATTAAAATTACATACCAAATTCTTGCATACAAAATAAATTGCAATGAATACTTTTATAATAATTCGTGCGAAAATTTCGCAGAAATTTTAAATGATAGAAAGAAAGGATGAAGAAGTAAGAGATTTAGAAATTGCCCGAATAGAATTAATGAAATAATTACAACGCAATATTTTAGCAACAATGCCCTCATAGCAAGCAGCTGACCTTATGCTGTAAGCATTCAATCTCATCGCGATAATCTTTAACTGCACGAGCATCCTTAACAAGTTCCAATCGTTCTTGCTGCATTTTTAGAATATCCATTTCACGAGCTTCCGCTTCATCTTTTAACTCCGCGATCATCTCATCACGTTCCTCCCTGCAAAATCATCCATCATTCATTAATTAATCTTAATTACATACATCATCATTGATATCACGTGAAAAATACAACTTAGAATAGACTGTTTGTTTGTACATGCATAAGTGATAATATATTGTTTTATTTTATAAGCATTCAACGTTCTCACTTACGAGACCATAAGTATGTCATATTAAAATAACCATGATAGTGAATACCGTAAGGTAAATATGAAAGTAAAAACATCTTCAACGAAATTATAAAAGCTTTGAAACAGATAGTTACAATTATTACTATATTTAAATTTTTTGTAAGAATGTTTTTTCTATTAATTGGTCTGATTTTAATTTACTTTAATTGAAATCACATAAATAATCAAACAATTTTAACAATTTTGTTCTTTTCAAAAATGCCATTAATCAGTCGATTAGATTGTTTTCTGTTTCGAAATTTATGCTTGAAATTATTCGATTATACAGCTATTTCTGTTTCATTTTATTAGGAATTTTTTGTTTGCATTCGTGATGGAATATTTTAAATATGGAAGTAAAATTAAAATCAAATAAAAGATTTCGATATCTGCATAAACTAATCAAAATTTAATTTAACTCGCACAAATTGAATTCACTTTCAATGTTGAGGAAATACAATCGGATTTAGTTATTACTGTTTATGCAAAACAAAGTAACTGAGCTTTAATCAATTCAAGAGTTCAACTTAAATTCGTTTAAAATTTAACTTCATTTCAGAAATGATATTTTTGTTACTATGAAAATAGTTTGCAGGAAATTTTTACTGAGCAAATATTGCAATGCAAAGCACATTTGTATTTTTGAAATCTCAGGTATGTCATGTCAGCCACTTCTTTTGATATGTTTCCACGCTGTAGAATCGATTCTGAAGTAATAGTTCACGTAGACGTAACTTACATCATATTTCTTAGCTTTCGGAGTTCAGCTTTTGCGGTTGCAAGTTCAACATTTGCATGCCTTTCTATAGTAGTAGGTGATGGAATACGATCTCCTGCAATGTTTTTTTTTAACAATTTAAAAAATACCAAAATGATAAGAAGAAAAATGGATATCTGATAAAAATTGTTATATCAAAATGATAAGTGACATCATATACCACATTTGCTCTCCGATAACTGCTTCACTGTCCTTATCATTTCACTGGAGACTGATGAAGAACCAGTGGTCATACTATTTTCATCAATTTCCTACAATACAACTAATTCCTCGGAATTGACAGATAAAAAGGATTCAAAAGACAAATGGTAAAATTGTGATAGATAAATAGAAATTGAAGAATGTGTTCCACATTGAAAAATTATTCAAATGAGATGACTATGAAATTAGTATGAAAATAAAAGAAAGGAATATTTTTTATTTCTTTCTCTTTTGAATTATACTCTTTAATTTTGAAAAAAAAAACTGTTCAATTTTTAATTAAAATAAGAAATAAAACTAACTCCTTCACTGGACATTTCGTACAATCGATTGGCGTACCTATCACGCTCTTTCATTACACTTTCCAAATAAGCCAATACTGTTGTTTTTTGATTGTCCACTGAAATTAGCTCTAAAGCCTGAACGTTAAGTGTACAATCACCTTCTTCCGCTACCTAAAATTTATCATTAAAATTTTTTCAAATATGATTTTAAAATAATACAGTTGTATTTCAAATATCATTTTAAAATAAGAAGGACTGATCTAACAAAAGAGTTCAAGCAATTCATGCATTCCGAATATTTACTAATCACATCCTGACAGTAAAATTCAAAACAAAAAATTTTATTATAAAGTTGAACAAATAACAAAAAATATATTGATTATTATTCTGCGCAAAACAAACATCAAATAGTGCGCCCAATTGATCATTGTAATCGATCGATTTGCTATTTAAAATATATAAAAATAAGATAAGCGGATTTATCGCTCAAAACCACATCTTTTTTTTTCTTCCAAAAAATAAAATAGATGCTAATCAAATATTTTCAAGCTTTTTTTTACGCAAATGTAATCAAATAGATCACATTGTTAATGGAAATTTGAGTAACTATTTCTTTGAAATGCAAATTTTTTGAATGGCATAAAGGTGTTAACCTCAAATTAGCATTACCATTGATAGTTTAAGATTATGATATAGATGAAATTAAATTTATGGATTTGGTATATTTTCGTTGTGATAACAAATGTGATAATTTAATAAGGATGACCAAAATAATCTTTCATATTCATAGCGTTAAAGATAAGTGATATTATGCAAGCAAAATTTATTGATGACCTTTTTGATTTGATTTATGAGTGCCGTTTGTAGTTCACTTTCCATATGTTTGATACGATCAATGAATTTATCACGTTGTTCACCGTGAACCGCACATCCCAACAACAACAGCAACACATTGTTTACATCCGTTTCACAACCATCTGCAACTCGTTTAGCATCATATCTGTTTATTTAAATAGAAGTTTACGTAGAATATATTTCTTTTTAATCCGTGCATTACGTGAATATACGTTATCGTAACGCTTTTAGTTTTATGATTTTCGTTCAAATATTCATTAATATATGTTCGTATTTGTAAGAACTGGTTGAAATGTATTCAAAAATCGAACCAAATTTTTGATTAAAAGTGTAAAAAATTCCTATAGATAATTAGTTCACAAAACCCTGGCAAAATTCTAATCATTCTTAATAGGAATTTGAAATCAATACAGTAATAATGAATTCTGATTTCTATCATCCTCACAAAAAAAAGAAAAACCAGGTTGAAGAAATATTTATTAACAATTATTTTAAAAAAAAGGTATATTTTTTTGCATACTAAAATACTCTAAATTTACTGTATATCTATCTGATTGTTTATACAGATGTTATGCCCAATTAATGATATCAAAAATTCTGCTAATAGTAAACAATTGAAATTGGAAAAGAATTACACCAACACACACACACACACACGCACACACGACAGTTAGAAATTGTTGATTTCATTCTTTTCATAAAAAAATTCATTCTTTTTTTAAGCGAACAAACAAAATGGAATGATAAGAAAGATCGCAATAAAAAAAAATTCGATTATACTTTGAATGAACAAACTTGTTTGATTACAACTAAATCGTTTCATTTTAACATAGTTAATTGTAGAAGAAGGCAAAAGATATCGATGGAGAGGATCGATCGGAAATCAGATAATAATGATAGTTGCGCTCATACAAGCACAAAAAAATCTTTCAAGAGAGAGAAGGAGAAAGAGAGTGTGTGTATGTGTGTATGTGTGTGTGTGT